ATTTAAATTGTTATTATTATTATCACTACACTAAACTGGTGCGTTGTGTCCAGGAGGCCGGCGGTACACGGTGCAGGGCCTGGGCCAGCAGGGGGCGGGTCTGTATGACGACAGTCTGTCTGAGCCTAGCGACAACTCCAAGCCGGAGGTGCCCGAAGACCTGGTCTCTGTCTACAAGAATATGACTAAAGAAGTGAGTGGGTTTGTTGTTGTGGTAGTTGGTGGTGGAGGTGTTGTTGTTGTTTCTGTTGTTGATTTTTTTTCTTGTTGTTGTTGGTGTTGGTGGTGGTGTTGGTGGTGGTGGTGGTGGTGGTGGTGGTGATAGTATTGTTGTTGTTGTTGGTGTTGGTGGTACTGGTGGTGGTGATAGTATTGTTGTTGTTGGTGGTGGTGGTGGTGGTGGTGTTGATGGTAGTATTGTCCTTGTTGTTGTTGGTGGTGGTGGTAGTGTTGTTTTTGTTGGGGGATTTTTGTCTTGTTGTTGTTGGTGGTGGTAGGGTTGTTGTTTTTTGCTGTTTTGTTGTTATTGGTGGTTGTGGTGGTTGTGGTGGTAGTATTGTTATTGTTTTTGTTGCTGTTGTTGTTGTTTTTATTTTTTTGCTTAAGGTTTCTTTTTATTGTTTCTTTGGATTGTTATTATTTTAAAAGCACCAATTTTGCAATCAATAATTTGTGTTTGTTTTATTTTTAAACCAGTAAGGGTTAAAGAATTACAACTGATAATTAATGTATTTATTAACTTCCTTTTGAAATATTTTTCTACTTGTATTTGTGTGTGTGTGTGTGTGTGTGTGTGCGCACGTGTTTGTGTGTGTGTGCGTGTGTGTGTGTGCATGTTTGTGTGTGTGTGTGTGTGTGTATGTTTATGTGTGTGTGTGGAAAAAAAGGGGGGGGGGGTGCTTCATTTTAATGATAATGAGGAACCTCCTTTACTCAGTTGTGAAATGGGATTAGTAGCTGACGCTGCCAGTTAACACCAACAATGGTTTCCAGGTTTGGTTTTATTATAGATTAACGTTTTCCACCATGAGCTCCGCCTTTTCTGCGTTTTTCTTTTGTTTTTGTTTTTTGTGTTAGAAATGGATTTTACTTTGGAAGCCCTGGCTCATGTGCCAATTTTTTTAAAAGTCATCTCTGGAGCGGGGG